AGGCCTCTTGCCCGGCGCGACGAGCTCCCCCGGCTCCCAGCGGCCGCGCCAGGAGGAGGAGGATGAGAAGAGAGACGCCTCAAGCCTAGCGGGTGGGTGGTTTCGAACCGTCCTACCACGGCCTGGGCGGTGCTCCCGGGACTGCGCGGCGCCACATCCAGGGATCGCGCTGGCTGCTGGTCCGCAAAGAGACGGAGAAGTAAATGCAGCGTCTTCTTACTGAGCGCGAAGCCGAACCTGCTTGTCTTGCTCTCGTGTCTGTCTCAGGTCAGCTTGGGAGCAGGCAAGGCTTGTGGATGGTCTGTGCCCCGCTCTGGATTGGACCCTTCATTGGTCACCTACGCTGGTCCACTGTGTGCCCACCACCATGTTCCCCTGACCTCTCAATATTTAAAATACGGGCTAAGCGACTAAGCACAGAAAGTCCAGCTGGGCTGTCCTGCCTTTCGGTTCTGTGGAACCAAAGAGTATGTTATAAAGAATTATATTTGAGTAGGGGTTTTTGATTTAAATCTTACACCTAGTGGCAAAAATGGGCCGTCGATACAATAAGCTTTCCCCCCACCCCCTCTCCTCTTGAAAGTTTGAGAGAGCCTTAATCCAGTCTCTGGGCAGGCTTTGGGCAGTTGAAAGCCTTAAACTTAAGTGCAATGTTTTGTGGGTATACATAGACATATAGTCTCTGAGATAAGTCTCTTCGTTTTCATCTTCAATCAAGAGCACCGTCAGGAGAACTCATCTTACAAGTCAACCTCTGAGCTATTTGGAGTTGAATGATCATACAAACTCCTGTTTGTCCAGTGTTTATGAGTGTTGCATTTTGACAAGCTTCATGAGACATTTTCCTCTGAAAACTCAAATGGCACTTTAGAATCTTTCATGCTCTGGGGCCACTGCAGAGCACCAACTGTCTTTGGACTTCCCAATAGCCCCCTCACTTTAGAGTGCCCGTCCTGTTTCTATATAGCTGCAGCTCCAGGATCCTGTTAGAAAACCTGGGTCAGAGACCCCATGGTTCCTAAGACCAAGAAGGGAAGACCATTATCCAGAATGTTCACTTACTAAGGCTCTCGGATCATAAAGACACAGCGTGCACTGGAGATTATGTTCCAAATCCCAGTCGCTTTAATCCACCTATTTTTAGTGTAGGCTGTTTGTTGCCAGTGTTCTTAATTTCATCTTTCTACACTGCCTGAAATTCGAGTTATTGCGAGATGCAAGTGGACGATGCGATCTTCCCCTTTTTAGTATACATTCTTTAAATAAGATTCTATTTAAAGAAAGGGACAGCTGTTTTCTTAAGTCTTAAAAAGGATGAAGACAAGACAAAGACAAAAGCTAATCATCCAGATGAGGGAGACCATCACCACGAGGCCACATCGGCTTCTGAATGATTCACATCCACATTCACAGCTAAAATTATAAAACATGGGAAACAAAAGATTTGTCATAGAATCATAAGTGGCAGCAGATTAATTTATCACAGTTGCCAGTAGAACGACAAAAGTGGGAAAGATGCAATGGTTAGCATCCATACTGTTACCGATTCATTTCTAGGTGTGGTTTTGAGACCCTGTGACCATCTTGGTGGGTGAATGACGCACAGCCAGGTGGCCCCAGTATCCTGATTTCCATCGAAGGTGGTATACCAAGGTACACCCTGAGGGTGAGACTGCCTTTCCTTGGGCTAGTCAGGGAAGTCACAGCAGCCCATTTTTAAACACACTTTGCCTTTTTACATGACCAGCCATTGATCTGCTAGAACTCAATGGAGGCTGAACCTTTGTGGACACTCTGAATGGATGTAGAGCTCCTACTATATAACCTGTAGCCTTCCGTAACCCAGTGCACAGAATTTAAGGTCTAGTAATCCTCTCCTCTGATCATGGATTTTATGAAAAATCCATAGATCACACTTAAGATAGTGTGCTTTCTTCTGCATGGACTAATGAAGGCTCCTTTAGATGACCACTTGCTTTGAGACAAGCTTTTAAAATCCTAGATCCTATCCTTTCGGATAGCCGGGCACCATCTGATTTCTTTGCTGCACTTTGCTACAGCCAAGAGGCTGCATTGCCAGGTTCAAACAGAAGAACTATGCTGTGGGAGGCACAGTATTTCATTCTATTGTACGTAGAGTCCCATTCGATGGCATCTAACAGCAGTAACAGCTACATTCAGTAAAACCTCAAGTTGTATATGAATACGGACACAGAAACCGTATCAAGACGCGAAACTGTTCTTTGGAGACTTTGCCGGAAATCTCACAATCATTCTACTTTGTACAACCGTTTCTTGAACTTCAGTCTCTTTTCTAGTTGTAGTTTTTCACATATTACTAGATTTACCGAGAGGAGCCCTGGTGACATAATGAGTTACGTGTGGGTCTGCTGACGGCAAGGTCTGCGGCCTGAAACTGCCAATCTGCTCTGTCGGAGAAAGATGAGGTTTTCTACTCTTGTTAAGAGTTAGGGTCTTGGAAACCTACGAGGGCAGTTCTGCCTTGTCCAACAGGGTCACTAGGAATCAGAATTGACTTTATGAGCTTGGTCTTTGGATTCTGTTTACTAACAAAAACCTTTCATAGGAGAGCCACAGTATCTAATCCTATTAGGCAATTTAGAAGAAAGTAGAAATAGGGTTTTTATACCCAGAGAATCGAAGCTTACAACACCCTCAATGTTATTGTTAGGTGCCATGGGGTCGCTTCCTAACCACAGCAACCTCATGCACAACAGAAGAGAATGCTGCCGTGTGCCGTCCTCACACTTGTTCCTATGCTTGATCCCATCGTTACAGCCATGGGGCCAAGCCTTGAGGGCCTTCTTGTTCAATGCCCCTCTTTACCAAACATGATGACCTTCTCTAGGGGCTGGTCTACCCCGACAAGATGTCCAAAGTATGTCAGATGAAGTCTTGCCATCCCTGCCTTCACGGAGCACTCTGGCTATACTTCTTGCAAGACAGATTGGTTTGTCTTTTCAGCAAAATTTTTTTTAATATTCTCTGGTACCACAATTTGAATGTATCGATTATCCTTCAGTGTTCCTTATTTCAATGTACAACATTTCACATGTCTATGGGTAACTGAAAATACCACGGGTTGGGTCAAGGGCACCTTAGTCTTCAAAGTAACATCCTTGCTTTTCAATACTCTAAAGAGGTCTTGTGCAGCAGATTGACATAATGCACCTCATCTTTTGATCTCTGGACTGTTGCTTCTGTGCACATTGATTGTAGATCCAAACAAGCAAAACTCTTGGCAACTTCAGTCTTTTCTCCATTTAACATGATGTTACTTATTGGTCCATCAATACCCTACATAAAAACCCATATAGTAACATTTAAGTCTATTCAGTAACTAATATCCATTTCTAATGATTTTTGGATCAGTTGTAATTTGTGAACTCTGTCACCATCTAGTTCTGGAAATTTTAATTTAGTAGGCTCCAAGTTCAAAGCATTAATTCTTTCTATAAATCCAATATAGCCTGTTTTTCTGTTGGAAACTTTAAGCCAAACATTTCAGCATATCAATGAAATATGTTAGCAAAGCAAAAGCTTATCTGAAAATGAAAATATTTAATATGACCCTGGTTAACGTACAGTATTTTTTAAAGTGAATGAATGGAAATGAATTACAGAATGAATGCAACGTCAAATAACATGGATTTTAAATTAGAATGTTAGGCAAAGAATATCTCAAAACACAATGATTTGCCTTATTTTTAAAAAGCTTCAGACACAACACAAAAAAACCAAGTTACAAAACATCTGCGTTAAGCATATAGGTAAGGTCTAGATTTTTTTTTTAAGTTGCAACCATGTCAACAATTAAAATAATTAGGAGCGTTTTAAGGAAACAGCCTTTGTGGCTCTCTTTCCAGTTTCAAATGATCCATAATTTAAAGGGATCTGCTGAAAAACACCTGAACATCTGTTCTTTCAAAACCTTGTGGCTTGGTGAACCCAGACTCCCCTTGTCCTGGAAGCCAGATTATCCAAAGAATGAATTAACTTTTAAACCAGTAATGAAAGGAAATCTTGTTTCAATGGCAAGACACCAAATTCCTTGTTTCATGCTGTTTGGAATTAAAGCTCCCCCCTACTCCCCACCCCTCCTACCACTGCTGCCAAATCTTAAACTACTAAACTGTAGTCCGGTGGGTAAAACTTCAACTCTTAACAAAATAAATTCCTTTCTAATGAGTCTTTTAAACATTGTTCCTGTTGCACATCTCTCATAAAAATCTTTAAATGGAAAAAATGAACACACGATGTTGAAGACCTGAATATATGTC